GGCCCATTTTAATTTTCCTCTTAGTTTTGTTGTCTGAAACTAGTGTTTAAAGTAGCGATCATTTTTTGTTACGAAGCAGTTTTTCCATGACTTCTGAACTCATGTCGGGCCCATTTTAATTTTCCTCTTAGTTTTGGTGTCTGAAACTAGTGTTTAAAGTAGCGATTGTTTTTTGTTACGAAGCAGTTTTTCCATGTCTTCTGAACTCATGGAGTATGGCTTCCTGCACGTTTGTCCTATAGCTGATGCAGGCTTTATTCTGAATGCCCCCTCTGTGGAGGAAAAACTTCAGCAGATCTTTCTAGTGTTGACTCTTTGGTATCTCATAACTGGTAGATGTTTGCTGCGACCTTTCCCAGTGAAGGCAGGTGCTGGAGTCTCCTGAAAACAAGACACTCTGAAGTAGAGTAACCCTGCAAGGAGTGAGGTCCCCTGAGAATTCAGCCCCTGTCACCCTGCTCACACTGACCAGAGAGTCCAAAAGCTGTTCAAAGGAAGGGACGCATTTATACATACTTGAGATGTTCTTATTAAGAACCCGTCTCAGCAAATGGAAATGCCATACAGGGATACAGCTTTTATGTTGGCCAGGAGTATATATGTAGTAATAATCATCATAAAGGAATCCTCATTCTTCATGGTATTTTATACCTTCATAATTGGAGCTCTGTGCGGAATCATAGGGTTGGTAACCTCCCTCCCTGGAGGCACTTGCAGCTTAAAAAGAAGCAGTGATATTTTAAAAGCTATATATATGTAAATCAGGCAGAGCACAGGGTGATGGATAGATGTATTCTTTGTTTAAATAAGTCTCTCAGATTTCACTCGTGTCTTCAGTCTTCATGTGCAGTTTTCTCTAATAATAAATGTTTTTCTCCAGTTTGCACCATTTTAATGGAATTAAGTAGTCCTTTTATGATCAAGTTAATCCAGTGCTTAGTTACCCTTCTGATACCTGGTTAGTGACTCGTGAATAGAAGGGAAGGTTAGTTTGCTTTAATTCAGTAGGGTTTTTTTAAGCAGAAATGATAAACTCTAGGTGGTACTTCCTTTCTTGTACTAGAAGAAGAATGCTTATGCTATGTTTCCCCTCCTTAGTGTTTGGATAGCTGTCAGTAATACTGATGGACAGAGGAGTTCTCCTTGAGCCATTTGAAACTATTTTTCAGGACAATTATAGAAGCCTTATGAAATTAAAGTTTGATGTTAATTAGTCTTCCTATCCAATGTCAGATATTCTGCATTTGTAAGCAAGTTAAGGCAAGGTGATTCAGGCAAAATTATCATGGCGATGCACAGGAGGCTGGAAAGTCTGTGCTAATTCGGTGTGCAGTGCAGGTTCTCCTGTTCTTCTGCAGTACTGCAAGTAAAATATTGCAATCGCTTTTACAATGTGAAAACTGAAAATGTGAAATGAAGGAAGGCTACAGTGTTGCAAAACATGGTAATTGAAGACTTTAGAATTGCTTTTTAATTTATATACAAGTCAGAAAATGTTTGCCATGATGCTGAACACTGTGTTAGTTGGAAAGGGAGTGTGTGGCAACAGATTTCTTGCTTTAGCTTTTTTTTTCCCCACCTGGAAAACTGCTGGCAATATTTCTCTAAAATTGCATATTTACATTCACTGAATTTTATATGTAAACAAATTATGTAAGAGAGGCTCTTCATAGCAGCATATTAAATCTTAATGCTGTTTTGGGAACTGAGAAAGACGATGTCTCTTTATGGTCTACAGCCGATGCAATTCTGAATTGCAGAATACCTTCAGAAAACTATTCAGGATTGGGGTCTTAATGAGGGTTTTTCTGACTGGAACATGAGATCCTTCTAACAACTGCTAACACTGTTAACTGGTTCCCATCCATACAAGATGTGGCAGACAAGCAGTACTCCGGTGTGTAGAAGATCCATGCCGTTTCTGATAAATCCAAGTAATCCTCTGGTACTCCTTTCTTCTATTTCCTTAGTCCGAGCTAATGAGGTACGCCATGGAAAAGCCTCAGGGGTAGGCACCACCAAAAAAGGAAGATGGGAAGGCATGATCAGATTAAAAAAACTTGGGTGACATGGGCACATGTGGGGGTTTTTTTAAAGGCTTATTGCCTAATTGTGTCTTAGTATTTTTCTTCTATCAATCTGTATGATTAAGAATTTTCACTACTTTTTTTATCAAATGCAAAAGCTATTTCTGTCTCTACAAATGGATTTCTTAATGCCTTTTTTATATTGTTCCCTAACTTTTTATCTAGTCAACAGAGAAGAAAATCCTATTTATTGGTGCAATTTAAATGTGATTGTTAGTTCTGGAAGAAACTCTTTTAATTAAAAAAAGGTTCTCCTCTGTTTTCTGGATATGTACTGTCTATTTAATAGAGATGGCTGCCAAGCTTTGACTTCTTTTGGCAACTTCGAATCTAATTAGCATTTCTGTACCAAATAGAACCTTTTTTTATTTTAAATTTTCAAAAGGAATGTAGGAATTCTCTCTAAGAGTTCTGCCTGCCTCAGCGGCAACTACAATCTTTTTGTTCATAGTTAAGGGTTGCTATACTAACACCTGATGGATAAATGCATATAGTTGGGATTCTATCAGTAGTTCATTGACTTAACACAAATGCTGTCCTTATGGTTCTTTAAAAAAAATATTTTTTTGTGATGAACGTTAAAATATAAAAGCTAACAAATGAGATTAAACCAGTGATTTGTTTCTGCCTAGCATATCCACCCCTTTTTTAATATATAAGAAAATGCTTTTATTTTAAATTGGTGTAAAAGCAAATGCTGCTCATTAAGAGGACACATAGCTCAAATAAGCTTGAGGAAATGTATGGAGAAGTTATTAACTCAGATCGAATCGTCTTTCCATTCAGCAGCTGTATGGAAAAATATGCAAGCAAGATAATGAATATGGCTGCATTATATGTCAGATTACTTCTACAGATGAGTCACATGGGAAAGAGGTTTTTATATGGTCACCTTATGCATAGGGGAGTAATGCACTTCTTTTTTCTGCTTAAGTATATCAGCAGAAAAAATTTCAGACCACCAAAAATGAAGATTACTCTCATGTTCTTGTAGGGAGACTTAAAAAAACCCCAAACAACAACAAAAAAACCAACCAAAAAAACCCCCACAACCCACACAAACAAAAAAACCACAAAAACCCACAACTGTTGTGGAATAAGTTTGCATTCTTTCAGTCTGTTTGCCAACATATTGATAAAATAGAATTATTTTTGATCCTGAAGGAGATAAGACTCAGTGAAAGTCCAATCTTAATTTTGTTCTATAGACTTGTAACTCCCTTAGCTCTGACCTCAGTATTTAACACCACTAGAGCTGTGTGAGGCCCTTTATTCTTTTGATGGTATAATGGTTTTGTTGCTATGATCATACAATCTATAAAATGTAGTTGCATGTCAATTATCCTTAATATTTTGTTTTTAAACTTACATTCAAGTCATAAGAGAAGAAGCTTTAGTAAAAGCTGCAACTTGTACTGCACTCCAGAAACACCTGTGGCCTGTTCCCATTTTTGTAAATAACCATTCTGACAAACCTAGTATGATCTGGCCCACTTTTCCAGTAGTATTGGATATGTATTTATAAGGAAAAATTGGCTAATGAAGTGCAAGATGTGAATGTGATGTGTCTGATGCTGCTTCTATTTTTTTTTAACTTTGTCTCATGGAAGGTGTAAATTCTAAGACTGAAGTATATTCAGCTGTTCAAACAGCTGAAAATGCCATCTATTTCTGAGTGGTTTTGTTCACTAGAGCTACTGTGGTATTTGTGATATTCAGCATTTCAGTTGTATATTTTTCAGCATTTTGCTGTGAAGTCTACATAAAAATGAACTTGTTCAAAATAAGAGTGCATATTAATCAAATATTTTAGTACTGGATTTCTGTTTGTGTATTGAATTATGGTTTCCCACAGTGTATTTACTTCAGCAAGGTATGAACTGTCACAGCATGACATGCTTATGCAGCTCTGAAATAACTTCTAGCAGTGCTGATTCAGAGTGGATCCAGTTCATATCACTTTGGAACATCTACCTAAGTCTTTTTTCAGCAGAAATATAAGGGGCAAAAAAGAATTCTTTGATACCTTACTGGATCTTAAATTGGATTCAGTTGTGTTTGCCTTGATTGGTATGAATGTGTAAAGCTGCTGGTAAAAGTAAAAGTATCATAGGCATAGTGCAGGTTTGCTCTGGGCAAATTTGATACTAGATTGCTGCTTTTTCTTCAAAATCATCTGCTTGTGATAGCCACTTGAGGAATCCTGTAGCCTACCCATTGACTAACTGTTTTTAATAGAACAACTTTGACTTTGTTTTATGACCTCTATGTTGTAGACAGAACCATTGTAAGCAACTGAAGGTCTGGAGCTTACATTAAGCAAGTGAGAGAAAATACATTGGAGACCTCTGACCATTATAGGACTTTGCTTAAAACGCAATAGTTATAGATGGCTTGGTAAAGTAGATGTAGATTCTCCTTAATGTAGTTCTTGCTCACTTTAGCAAATGTTATGATATTGTCATGGTCCAATTGATGTAGTAGGCCAAGCTTTGAGGAAACCATGTACTCCTGTAAGTGTGAACTGCACTGAAGTGATCATGGGATCTGGTCACTTTCAGTGCAAAGCTCTTAGGTTTAATCTTTACTCTTTTTCTTTTTTTTCCCTAGTTCTGTTGTATAAGTAGACTCAGAAAAATACCGTCACTATCTTACTACCAAAATATCTTAGTGTGTGGAATTGCAGTCTTTACAAAAAGACATTGCAGTGTATTTTAAAGTACTGTCCTAAAAACCAGAAGTCTTGAGAACAAACTCTTTTGTATTTCTGTATTCCAGTTCTGCTGAAGGGTGGATTGCTGTGTGAAGTATCAGTACAATTTAACAAGACCCACTCTCCTTTTTGTTTTTGAAGGACTTGGTAAATATTGAGATGTTTTTGACTGCTAAAGAAGTGGAAGAGTCATTGGAAAGACAGGAGACTATGACTTGCTTGGCTTGGTGTCATGATAACAAATCCAGGCTCAGAAAAATGAAGGTATGAAAATGTAACATGTTCATATTTTGCTTAAATTGTTTTCGAAATGTTTTCTAAACTACTTGGATATTTGATGTGGTCAATTTGGTTTAAATTATAGGTCTTGAAAAAAGCCTTGTATAAAAGTAAGGACAGTAAGTACAAAACTCTTCTTTTAAGAAGGCGTAGGTGGTTGGGGCTAAACTAGTTCATGCAAATGCCAAACCTGAAACTGGGTGATAGGTCATCTTATGGATGCAGGTGTTGTCTCAACAAATTGTGCTCAAATAAAATAATAATATTCAGTAGGTTTTAGTGCAATTTACAAACATCTAAATGCAGAAGTATGTAGTGTCTTGATGCATGTGAACTTACAACTCTGCATCCTGCTGAGAATATAACTCAGTTTATACATGAAAGTATCTTAAGAGTGAGATTAATTGGTAAACCTATGTCCTCGGGCTTAACACTGAGAGAAACTTCACACAGATTTTTGTCTTGGTATTTAAGTGTTATGTATAAGAAAATAAAACTTGAGTAAAGATCTAACTTTCTGTGAGAAACTACTGTTGAAATGTTTTTTTCAAAAATAGAAGCCGAGTCTAATCAAGTAATAAACACAGTAAGTCTTTCTCTAGCCACTGAATACCATGACCTGAATATGCGGTATATTTGTTCCTATGCAGTTGGTTTAAATTTCCTTGTCTCTGAAATTCTGCATTTCAAAACATGCTGTAATCTTTTATAGGGCTTGCAGAAATCTGTTTTTTAACTGATATTAACCAAAATCCCTGCCTCCCTCAAAGGTGTTTGTGTCTTTTTTTTTCTTTTAAACTAAGAGCTTTCTTTAACCAAAAATGTTTGAGTGCACTTAATGATAAGCAAAGAGTGACGTTCTCTGTCACTCAGGGGCGCCAAAATGAGAATGAACCGAAGATGGGACGCAAAAGTAAATCGGCCAGTGATTACTCTAAAGAAAATGATGATCTTGTTATGGAAACCATTAAAGGAAAACCAGAATTGGTATGTAAACACTACTGCATAATTATACTGCTAAAAAATCCCCCTTGTGTAAACTTAATATGTTAGGTAATATAAGAAATAAAATCTGAAAACCTTACTTTTTCATCACCAATTTTCAACAAATGATAAATAAGGAAAAAATCTCCCCCATCCCTCTTTTTGGAAAACAACAAAAATCTATTTCTGCAAGCCCTACTTTTTTTTTTTTTTTAAAAAACAAACCCCAAAGCTAAGGCTGTGAGAGATCAGAGTTGGAAGAAGAGAAATCACTGTGCTTCCTTTTGAAACACAAATAAATAGTTCTTCTGTTTCTGGTTGCTTAGCTGCTCATCAATGTTCTAAAATCCCAGCCACCACCTTAGTGCAAGCCTAATCTAAAAATTAAACTGTATGTTGGCCTGGGAAAGCATGCAGTCCTATAGTCTTTACAGATGTGAGATATCTGAACTCTTGTGAATAGCTGCTGTGGAATTGTTTGAAGGTATACAAAGTTGAAATGTATGCATAATCTAATTGTCTAGGACTCGTTTTTTTCTAGTTACACTTGTGTGCAGAACCCATATAGCCATTGGCTTGCAGCTTACTTGAAGATTCAAAAACAAAACAAACTGAAGATTACTTCGGGATGTGTTTTTTTTGCTGATGAAACGCTTTAATGAAATACTAAGCCATAGGATTTAGTATCATTAACAATTGAAAAGCTTGATCAATTTTTTGGTAGAAACAAACTTAGCTAAAATTCTAAATTGAGGATTTTGTGTAGATTTGAGTAACAGGGTATTTTAAAATACTCTTATTTGAAAATTTCAAGTAAAGTAGAGAAGAAAATTTTATTCTGTGCTAAATGTGAGCTTGAATACAGAAAAATTCCTAGTTGGAAAATAATTTATTTTCTATTCCTTAAACAAGTATATTTTAACATATGACAGAATGCATAATTTTTCTTTTTTATGTTCAAATGGCTTACATTTAAATCTTAAAATAAGTAATTGTTGCAATGTGTGCATTAGTCACCCCAGGCAGTTAACTGATACAAATTTGGAGTTGTTCAAATTCCTAGTGAAGTCACTGAGGAATGTTGATATTACTGTGCTGGTGGACAATAAACAAAAGGCAACTATTCATTAGAAGCACAGGGGAAGAAAAACTTTTGCCAAATGAAACAGGGTAACTCAAAGAATACAGCTCTTCTCAAGATTCAGAGGACTTCGGGTTTTCGTTGTTTTCTTGAGGTGATAAAACAGTTGACTGTGTCCCTATAAAGAAGCATAGTGACTTGTTCTTTTATGGGGGGAGAATCTTTTTCTTCTTAATTCCACATATTCAAAGTTTTTTTATAGATTTTGTGAACGGGTGATGGAATTTGATTTTAAGGGACACTGTCAACTTCATTAGGCTTCAAATTTTACCTTTTTCCAAAAACAGGTAAATGTCACTTGGTTTTCTTGTTTGAGACTTGTTTCCAGCATGGCTTTTAGGTGTTTGACAAGAAGAGCGGGATAGAAGCTTGAAGAAAGGGAGGGAGGGGATTGCAGCAACTTAAACTCTGTGCTGTTTTTTGTTAATATTGGGGATTCTCAAAGTAGTATTCAAAGACTTGTGTCTTGCAGCCTTCTGGGTAGACCTCTTGTCTAAATTAGCACATGGCCCCAGACTTCTGTTGGATCTACTACTTCAAATTGTAAAAAATTACAAAGAAACCAGTGGTTACTCTCACTTGCATCTTGGGTAATGGTGCTTTCAGTCATTAGGAAAAAAGCTCATCCCTGCTAAATACTGAATTTTGAAGGAGGCAAGAGGAGGAGGTTTTTGTTTGCTTTTAGGGAATTCTGTGCTGATATCTTGTAAAGTCAGCATTTCAGATTTTTTTTGCATGAATGCCTAAAAGCAAGCAAACAAGGTTGCATGTTATTAACGCTTTCTTTTTTTGTTGTGCACATGTAATACTTAACATACTGTGCAGTGCAGTTTTGGCACCATCTAAGACCCTGTCTTGTCTTTAATCTCAGAGCTGTCTGGAGTTCAGCCTAAGGATTCAGGAGTTCATTGAACTCATTCGGCAGAACAAGAGACTGGATGCTGTGAGGTATGAAATTAGGATGCTTACAAACAATTTTCTTAACAAGATGATATTATGCTTCATTAGAAACATGTGACTATTATGGCAACACCCAGGAACCCCACTGCTATAAAGGATCTTGCTAGTGTTATGATCAGTCTTTGGATTTAATTTTTTTTTTTAAGTCCTGGTGTCATTCCACTGATGCGCCTTTTTAAAAACTTAATGTTATCACTGAAACTCTGCATCTTCTTACTTTTCAAAATCAAGGTTTAGAAAATTAATCTGTGTTTTATAAACCAGTTTATTTTCTGGTGGCATACAATGTAATCAGCATACTTACCCTTAACTAATTTTCAAAAGGTACAGCTAGCTTCTCATAGGAAGTCGTTGCAGTTTGAATCAGAAAGAATAGTAAAAGGTTAATGAAAGACCCATCTAAAGCTTAACATTTCAATTTTGACTGAATTCCCTTCTGCTTTACTGTCTTCGTTAAACTTTTTGTTCTACAAGTTATGCTTTAGGCCAGGTTCACCTCTTGTATTGAATGCCTAATTTGAAATTCTGTATTGTCATGTATGTGAGAATAACAAGCTATGTTATGTTACCCCCTCTCCCTTCCCCTGGCCCCAAATGAAGAAACCAAGTCAATATGCATTTTCACTTCTTTTGAACTAGTTCAGTGGGGACTACTTTGAGGAGAAACTCACACTGCCCAAGGTGGTGTGAATCAGTAACAGAACTAGTCAGACCTAATTACTGCCTGACTTCAACCAGAAGACAGTCTTTCTGGCAATACTTACAATATTAGCACATGAAGCAATTTATACTTTTAAGTTAATGGTCCTGATTTAAGATGTTGGAGTAATGTTCCAGGATAACACGGGAAAACAGTTCTGCTGAAATGAGTGGACTTTTGATACTGGGACTATAAAATGTGTTGATAATTTTGATAAGCAATAATCTTGCCAGCACCACAAAGTATGATGCAGCTGGCAGAGCTACTGGAGCTTACACATGGACAAGGGAGAGAAGAACTCACAGCAAGTCCTGTTTTGAAAGAATATTTAAACCTAGGGAGAGATGACAAGTTTTATGGCCAGATTTGAAACTTTGCTGATACATTCTGGTGATAACACTGTTGCTGCTTCACAGTTCTGACAAGTTTTATGTTAAAGAAGTTGCAAGTCTTACTACCTTTAAAACTGTATCAGGTACTTCAGAAATTGAAACCAGCAGGAGGCTTGTATTTGTGGCAAAGATGCTTTTTGTTCAGAGGAGCACAGAGCTATACGAAACGTATGAAGTATCATAACATAAGCACAGGCTGAAAGCATTCTAGTGCATTCCCAAATTTTAGAGGTAGAAACTCTTCTGCAGGGCAAACCACATAACTTTTCTTGAATAGAATGGGTGAGAGACACTTAGTTGTTTGAAAATAAGAATAAAAGAAAAGGTGGTGCAAGTATGTCGAGAGGCTAGTTTAATACTAACACCACCCCAAAAATTACCTTAATTTTTAGGGTTTTTTCCAGTTGTTATTTCTGATTTCATTCAAATGTGTTGCTTGTTTTTGAGCTAACTCCTATTATTCCTACTTTGCCCTACTTACACCTAAATCGTCATTCATTTGGTCCTAGGTAATGCAAATGTGCAATCTGATAGACTCCAGCTAGTTTTAATGCTAGTGATTTAAAAAAAACCCTACATGCTAGCATTTAGATATGTGCATTTACCCTTGATAGAGTTCTCAAATCCTAAGGAATTGTCAGGTGCTTAGGAAAAGGATGAAAGACACTCAACTACATTATCTGTCTTCTGAAGCCCATGGTGTTCTTTATATCCAACGAATACTGTGCCTTTGTGCCTTTAGCTTTATCCTCTGCTAAGTTTTTGCTTCTTTGCCAAATGTGCAGTCATGCATCTTAACAATGAGTAGTCCATGCTCTAAAAACTATTTTCTTTGAGCTGCAGCTTCCTTATGTAGCTTGGAAACCAGAGCGCAGGCATAGAGCTGAAATAAGGAGATAGGCTGAGAACTGGGACAAAGCAGATAAGGTCATTCTGTATTTTATTGTTGTTTCTGGATATTTGTTTCTCTGACCCCTTTTGCACATCAGAGCTGGTAAGATTTGCAAGTTGTTAGCCCTCAAGAGGACCCAGCACTCTTGGTGTGGAGTAACTTGTACTATCATAGCCTCTAAGGTTTAAAACTTAGCAGCTGCTATCTACATTGCAAATAGGCATCCATATTGAATGTTGTTAGAGGTGAAGTGATTGACATAGATCTTAAAGATTGACATGTATCTTAAACTCAGCAGTTATAACTTACCAGTCATAACAATACTGCTTTAACTTCATAACTTCTTGTAAAATGAAAAGGAGCTATAGAAGTCCTTCTATATCTTAATTCACTCTTTTTCAACAGGGTGAGTTTTGATAATTTTGTACATTCGGAGTTCAACATCTCAATGCTTTCCTTAAATACTGTGGCTTAAAAATGTTAGTTTTTACCATTTCATTCTGCTTTGCTTCAAAAATAAATATGTAACGAATAAGGGAATATATTCTGGGAAGGCATAGCATAAATCTCATTGCTTCTAGCAAACCCGTTGCAACTTGTGTTTTTATTAGCTTGCTTCTGTTAAGTGCCTGCAGCAGGATTCTTTCAGTATTGTGTCCATCGTGCAATAAATAGGTCAGGCATCCATTAGAAGGCAGAGAAAGAGGCTGTTTACCAAGTAGTTTCCTGTATGAGTGGAACTCAGAACTGACATTTTGTTGAAACGCAGCTGGTGTTTAAATAAGTTTGAAAGCTTTGCTTACTGCCTGCTGAGAACCTCAAAAGTGACATACTGCTTTCAGGATAAAATTGATGTGAGCTTTAAAATTATACATCTTATTTAATAAGTGTTTGAATTTCTGTAGCTTTCTAGAATATGCGTACAAATAGACCTTCCTCTAAGGTACCTTATCAGAATAGTCTGGAAAGTGCAAGTTTCAAGAACGTACAAGAACTATTTCTTGAATACAAAGAGGAAATATCTTAAGCTTAAGTACATCACAAAGTTTTTTGCCTGGTATCATTAGCCTTTAACTCCCACAGTCTCATTAGCTTTTTTGTAAAGCTCATACCTATTACAGTAACAACGAATGACTGATGACATTAATTTCATACTTTTGGGGCTCTTACTAATTTCATTCTGGGAAATCTGACAGCATTCTCCTGCTTTGCTCTTATGGGATGCCAGAGATACACAGAGCTCTTGGCTAGAACCTTAACAAAACACCCTGTGCACTTCTTGTTCTTGCGATATAAAGGACAAAATGAATAAATAAAAACAGCTGATGATGGGCAGACTTAGGAGAAGGTGGCCATAGTCTATTCATTTTAGCAAATTTCTCTCCTCTAAGGGTGGATAAACACAGTTTGTTCCTTTATTTTTATTACAGGGTGGGGTTGAACAGGTGTATAAAAATAGTAACTTTTGAGTACTCAGAGCATAAATTTTGCTAGTAGTCATAATGGTCTCTGAAATAAAGGCATTCAGGTGTCAGTGAGAAAGACTGAGAAGAAAGAACAAGTCCTTGATAACACCTTATGTTTATGTTCAGTAACTGTTGTGCAGTCATGAGTATTCAGTACTGTTTCTAGCTTCCTAATCTAAAAAAGACTTGGGGGTGCTATGAATTAATGAACTTCTGTCTCTTTTAAAGGATATCTTGCTTCATTTTAATTTCTCAGTGTTGGCACTCAGAGGATGAAGTTCAGACATTAGCATGGCAGGCTTTGTGGGAAAACTTCCTTGTTTTCTTAAGGAGCGCAGGTGGAAGGGAAGGTCAGGAGATGAAGACTAACAGAAAGTCACTTTAGAAAACCCAGTTCCTTCTGACTGAACCCAAAATGGCCAGCACACCCCAGCGTGTTCAGACAGCATTTCAGCAATACATCCCCCTTGCTATTATAGGAAGACCCTGAGCTGCAGCAGGCAAATACTGGCCACACTTACAGTATGTGTTCAAGAAGATCTAGAATTAACACTTTGTACGAGATATAACCATAGTGCGTGTGCCAGCCATTCAAGGGAGAAGTGCTCAGCAATCCAACATTTCCATCATTCGCAAAATATTTATCTAACATCACAGAACACAAGTGCATAGTGATCAGTTCTTTTAAGAAGATTTTTTTTTTCCTCTTTTCCTTTATGCATGCAGTCATAGTAATTTAGCTTAACTGGAAGATCTGCATTTTTTTGCTTTGCCTAAGCTTTCTTTTAAATAGCTATCGCTTTCATCTGCAGCTCTACACTAGTACTTATTTTAACTTTCTTCCAGTATGTCCAGGTTGCCTAGTCTCATCTCTCAGGCCATGGGTTTTGTATTTCTGGTCTCCTAACAGTAATCACCTGAGGAACAATATTTACTTTCCTGAATTGCTCACCCAAAATAGGAAGTTGGGTGGAAACAGTCTGTCCTACATAACTTCCATTGCTTCCTGGTTTGGGTGAGAGAGGAAGTGAGAATACTGTGAAACACTGCTAAAGAGATTGTTCTCATAGTAGTGATGACCTCGGTGTAGTTAGTGGAACACAGAATTGGGGAGGAAGGGGCGGAACACCTTATCTACTTTTTTAATTCAACCTATGAAATGGGCAATTGGAAAATACTGTATAATTCATAAAAGTAATTTTAACTTTAAATAGATTTTAACAGGACTCTTTGGTAAGTGTTTGCTCTTTTTAACTTTTAGAGTACTTCAGAGAAGACTTGGTATCTTCCCCATTATACAAACTATGGAGAAAATATGGCATAGGGAAGACTTTTCTACACTTGCACAATGCTAGAAATGCAATATAGTGCTAATTCTGTACTCAGTCTACTATGCAATGTCTATGCATGACTGAAAACAGGAACTTTTAGCAGAATTGCTGAACTAATCATCCAGTTTAAAGGCTGGAGTATTTTCCTGCACACTTAACTCCAACTTGAAAATTGATGATCATGGGAAGACTAGATAGGGGAAGCTTTCATACAGAGTTTTAAAGGAGTTGAATATCCTTATAATCTGATAATAATTCTCTGATTTCTTAGTAGTAACTTCCTGAAAAATATTAAAGTTTGTATTTTTGCTTTAAATAAGTTTCTAGCAATTATGTCACTTCTTTCAAATATCCAAATTTTCAGCCTTGTATGTATCTCTTATAATCAGTATGCATTAAAGTACAAAAACTTGTACTGAAGTTCTATTTTATTTTTCTATTTCCATGGCAAAAAAATTTGCTTTTAACAAGGTGTTTTCTACTATATTACACTGCAATTTCTTGTAATCTGCACAGAAAGGGATATTGCCCATACCAAAAGAAAAAAGATCACTTATACAAAAGTAAACATTCTCTCAAATGTCAGTATAAACAAGGTAGGTATTTGAATGCTCTTGATGTTTAATGGTTTGGAATAGCTGATTATCAGACTGCATTTATCTCACTTGTGAGTGTATGCCAAAGGAGTGTGATACATGGAGCTTGCATAAGCAGAGACATTTCTTCTAATAATCATGGATCTGCCATTGCAGATGTAGGTGAGGTAAGACTTCATACTACAGTAAGAAGTTCTGGTTTCTAAGAAATTACAGTGCAAAATTGCTAATTCTTAAAGTCATTTTTGCATTCATATTTGCAGAATGTATTTTTTCAAACCCTTTAAATGCATCACCAGGTATTCATGTTCATGTGTTGAGAGCAGAATCTAGAGGTTTTTCTCTGAAATCTTACATAATTATGTAAATTTACTTAATTTAGAAACAAGGTTATCTAATAAAGGTATAAATTCTGTATTTCAGACATGCAAGAAAGCATTTCAGTCAGGCTGAGGGAAGCCAGCTGGATGAGGTTCGACAAGTGATGGGAATGTTGGCCTTTCCTTCAGACACTCATATCTCCCCCTATAAGGTAACATTCTGTTTGAAATTCAGTGGTACAGCAGAATAATAAAATACATGTTGCAGTTCTTTTTCCTTACAGGAAAATGCTTCGATAATCTGAAGGTCAAATGTTGTTCTAATTTTACTTTCTAGAATCTGCTTTTATAATAGCCCTTAATTTTAATAACCAATCCTTGCCTGTACATTAATCCAGGTAGTACTTGTATTGTTGCATTTTGATCTTAATAGTAACAGACAGATTCACACTGAGCTAGGCTTGCCACAATCCCAGCACTTAAGATCTGTGGGACTGGAAGCATGATATGCAAATATACAGCAAGAGACAGAAGATCGGGAAGTACAAAGAAAAAAATTACATGGTTTTGTTCGACATACTAGGCTGTGGCCTTAATACACTAGCAGCAGTTCTTAATTCTACTTCTCAAATTGCTGTTCTCGTGGTGGTTGGGATGAAGAAAGGAAAGATGATTTGAATGATCTCAAAGCAGTATTTTTGACGCTTAAAAGTAAGTGTTCATTTATTTGGATTATACAAGTTAATGTAGATACTAGTGATAATATCTACATCTAAATTTGAATCAAGCAAAATTCCTAGGCAGTTACTGTTTCTACAGATTTTGAATTTGTTCTGTGGTCATGTGCTATCACTTTTTTTTAAACTTGGCATTGGAGGCAGAAGGTAGACAAGAGTTGAGCTGGCAAAGGAATCCTGTGAAATGCCAAACCAGTATGTGGCAATGCCACTGTAAACATGTTTTAAACAATTGATGATGAAATCAATGGTTTAACATAACAAACACAAAAATAACCCAAATCAGCAACCCACAGAATTGACATGAATTTCTTTGCTAATCCTGGAGTCTTAGAAGGATCCTGGTATTTTGGATTCTACATTTGATATGAGTTACAAGCATAAATGACAGATGTGTTAGAAGGCTGGGTGTAAGACAGAGCTTGTCATTGTTTTAATAGCTAGAAAGAAATAGGCAGGAAATAAAAATCCTATATTTTGTTCTCAGTGCTAGTTTGGACAATGTTTCAATGACGGAGAGCAAGGAGAAAAACTAGTGTTGTTTCACATACAACCATACAATTGGAATAAATTAAATTTCATACTACTTTTTATGGATCTGACTTAAAACATTCTAGTTTACAGAAGTTATGTTTTGGGTCCTCTAATAATTATCTAGATAAACAGAACCCTAGCATGCACACTTGTTTGGAAATACAAATACCTTTAATATGTTGACTAGGAGTTCTGTGCATAAATGGCTTTAAAATTACTTTTAAATCTGTGAGAAAGTTTGTCAGATCATAATGTGTCTAATCAATTTATTTTTGTCAATCCAAAGGAAGAAGTATCTTCTATAACCAATGAATAGAACTTTCTTCAGCTTGTTGTACTATGTTTTAGGACTTTAAGGAAAACATATTTAATGTTGTGGCAAAACAAGATATTTTCTTTTGATACCCTTTGAACAAGCTTGTGTAGCTGTGGCTGGAATTATTTATTTTGTCCCATCATAGGCTTTTCTTAATCAGTAGTACTTTATCTCTTTATGGATTGGTTGTAGACTGTCTGTCTTCTCAAGCAGTGTCTTAAGGTCAGAACAAAAGCTTCATCCTAGAACTCCGGGAACATTCTGGCCTTAGATGGGGCAGGTGATGGAGTAAATGGACATGCAGTCTGGTGGCAGAAACGGTGCTTTTTGCTTTAGTTGAGGCAAGATGTGTATCTGTGTTTACTTTTGCCCCTACCTGTATAGGTTCTCAGCCTCAGTTCTGCTTGTTGATTTGGAGCATTTAGAAGTCAGACAAATATTGCTTATGTCCAGGATTCTTTCCTTTCTTGTGGATTTACCTCTGAATTGTTCTGCCTCTTCCTCATGTGAATTATTCTTTCTCTTGTGCTATTTTTCTTCAACCATAGGCCCACAGTTGATCCAGCTGTTTCTTCTGCAAGGCTTTTTTCCTTTCCTCTCTTGTCTTCGTATTCCTGGTGTTTTTTTTGGATCTCTTTAAATCCATCACTTACACTTGCGCCCCTTTTCAGCTTCTGAGTAATTCCACTTTTTAAGCTCTTGTCAGAAATACACACCAAGACTGGTTTGTGTGAGCTGCATCTCTTCCCTCCCTCATCCAAAGATGTTCCCGGTTTAATGGGAGCTATTAAAACTCCATCCTGTCTCCAGTCCAACAATCATTTTGTCTGTGTTCATGAAGACGTGCAACTTCATAACGCCAGCTAAGATTCCCTAGTTGTACATAAACCACTTCTCCCTGCTGTTCTTAGAAGGGATGGAGAAATAATTCTGCCCTTACTCAGGCAACTGCTGTCAAAATCCAGTTTAGCACTTCTTTAAATGTTGGCCTCTTATAGTTCTACAGGGTATTTCCCAAGTTTATCTGAAATACAGTTCTGTTAACATGTAATTTTAGGACAATGATGAAAAATTTATTCATAAAATACTAAAAAAAAATTATGTACTATGGTGCCATTAAATCATGTGGATAGAAGTTTTCAGGCCAGTCTCATCTTCTTGGGGTGGGGGAATTCCAGGATCCAGGCTACAAGAAAAGGTAATGCTGGAGTCCCTCCTCCCAGTGTCTTGACTTGAATAAACCGGGAACTGAGGAGAGGCAGAGTGGGCCGAGGTGGTACGGAGCAAAGCATAAAGACTAGTGTCTGCATTATAGTAAAATCACTGCCTAGTAATTCTGGTAAACATGTTTTGAATTTGATGCTGCTACTGAGTGTATTGTCTGTCACCAAGTCTTTGATTTTCTTTAAAAGCCTGTTTTATAAACTAAATAATATACTAAAATCATAGAATCATAGAATGGTTTGGTTAGAAGGGATCTTTAAGATCACCTAGTTCCAAGCCTCCTGCCATGGGCAGGGACACATTCCACCAGACAAGGTTGCTCAAAGCCCAATCGAGCCTGCCCTTGAACACTTCAAGCCCCATCCAGCCTGACCTTGAACACTTCCAGGGATGGGACATCCATAGCTTCTGTGGGCAACTTCCAGTGCCTCACCACCCTCACAGTGAAGAATTTCTTCCTAATATCTCATCTAAATCTCCCCTCTTCCAGTTTAAAGCCATTGCCCCTGGTCCTGTCACTCCATGCCCTTGTAAAAAGTCCCTCCCCAGCTTTCTTGTAGGCCCCCTTTAGGTACTGGAAGGCTGCTGAAGGTCTCCCCAGATTGTTTCTCCTAGTTGCCTCAAAATGTAGCATGCACAGTTGATAACAGAACTTGTTTCTAAGATAGACATTGTCACTTCTCATGACCAAATGCAGGTTATGGATAGAAAGCAGGGAGGTGCTAGCAGAAGAAAGTATTAAGTCTTTGCCTGTATAGATAACATAACAAGTATATTTTCAAAGGGTCTTCACTTCTTACATGACTCTTTCACAGCATTACTTTTAGGGTGCAATGTATCTTTGACTTGTGGGTTTAGTTCTTGCTTCCATGAAAAAAACATCCCTATTTTAAGTACTGTTCCCTGTTTTTTAGGTAATGCACAGCATTGCAATATATATTAAAGAATGTTGTCCTTAAATGTATATCTTACCTAAGCTTTCTCTAAGCTGGGTTGTGCTAGCTCTTCAAATTAAAACCTTTTTACAAAATTCTGTAAACATTATATATTACAAAGAGGTATGAGCAGAATTAGCCTGACTTAAGGTAAAAAAATTGTTCTGACTTCTCGATGTTAATGGTTCAGAGGCTATAGAGCAAACATTCTGCAATACTAATGTTGTTTTGTAAGTAGGCCAGCATTCTAGAAAACTAAATACAAGAAACAGCCTTACCAGGATTTACAGACCTTAATTAGAACATTTGGTAGATGAGAGAGGGAGATTGAATATGCCGGCTATTTTAAGTAATACTTGATTTAAACCATATTTCTAGTAAAGAGTGTTAAAAGGTACTTTCTAAACAAGTACATTCATACTATGCATTAGCATGTATACTTTTATTTTGTGATGGATTCAGTCTAGTGAGTTTTGCACAATTTACCACTCCCAGGCTTTTCCTCCCCAGGACAACTAGATTGAAAACAACTTATAGTTGTGTTGTTTTTTTAACAGGATCTCTTGGACCCTGCTCGATGGAGAATGCTGATCCAACAGTTTAGATACGATAACTACAGACTACATCAGCTGGGAAACAATTCTGTTTTTACTATAACACTCCAGGCAGGCCTTTCAGCTATAAAAACACCGTATCCTTTAATGCAGATACTACTGTCGAGTGCAAAAAAGCATTGTGGGTTTTTTGATTCTATGGATGCTTTTCAGAGAGCTCAAAGAGGAAATGTGACACTTGAATATTTTTGCTCATGAGTTGTTTAAATGGAGTATGAAATGGTCTCTCTGTTAAATTAAGGGGAGATTATTATAAATGGCATTATGTTTCAAAAAAAAAAAGCCCAAACCAGAATTTTGAGGTGAAATCTACAGTGTGTTTGCATACTAGGCTGTCTTTCCATGTGTGTCAAGTTAGTGAATACACCTTCAAAAGTTAGTGAGCTGGGTCAGAATTGTTATTTTTTTAAGCACTTACACAAAAATTTACCCTGTTTTTATGTGAATATTCAACATGCATCCCAACCAAGAGGAAGTTGGACAAAAACACCAGGAGGCCTGCATGGATGAACAAGGAGCTCCTGGACAAACTCAAACACAAAAAAGAAGCCTACAGAGGGTAGGAGCAAGGACAGGTAACCTAGGAGGAATACAGAGAAATTGGCTGAGCAGTCAGGAAAGCTAAAGCCCTCATAGAATTTAATCTGGCTAGGGACATCAAGGGCAACAAGAAAAGCTTCTTATAGGTACATCAGTGATAAAAGGAAGACTAGGGAAAATGTGAGCCCTCTCTAGAAGGAAACAGGATACCTGGTTACCTGGGACATGGAGAAGGCTGAGGTACTGAACAACTTTTTTTGCCTCAGTCTTCACCAGCAAGTGCTCCAGTCACACCACCCAAGTCGCAGAAGGCAAAGGCAGAGACTGGGAGAATGAGGAGCCACCCACTGTTGGAGAAGATCAGGTTCAAGACCATTTAAGGAACCTAAAGGTGCACAAGTCCATGGGACCTGATGAGACGCATCTGCAGGTCCTGAGGGAACTGGCGGATCAAGTGGCTAAGCCACCATCCATTGTATTTGAGAGCAGGAAAGTCCCCGCTGACAGGAAAAGGGGAAACATAACCCCCATTTTTTAAAAAGGAAAAAAGGAAGACCTGGGGAGCTACAGACCAGTCAGTCTCACCGCTGTGCCCGGCAAGCTCATGGAGCAGATCCTCCTGGGAACTATGCTAAGGCACATGGAAAATAAGGAGGGGATTGGTGACAGCCAACATGGCTTCACTGAGGGTAAATCGTGCCTGACAAATGTGATGGCCTACAACTGGGTTACAGCGTTGGTGGATAAGAGAGGAGCAACTGACGTCATCTACAACGTCTGGACTGGTGCAAAGCATTTGACATTGCCCCACATGACATCCTTGTCCCTAAATTGG